TATTTATATGGCAGAGTATCACATTCTGCATACTGTTTATAACGTGCTCTTTAAATTTAATTTATTGTGAGTGTTGCTCCATTTCAGTACAAATACAGCTTTGCTGGGATTGTTTCCACTTTTTTTGGTTTCCGTCATCAGCATTTTTACTGCTGCATAGCTTTCCCTGAAATGCGATTGAATGGTTCCTTGTGGAGGATTCAATCTCTGGGCCCGGGAGCACATCCTGTGGTGGGAGGGGCACGCTTGCTCCTCCCACTGCTTCCCACAGGTGCTGCCCACATTCGGGTGGTGCCCTGTGTCCCCTCACTCCCCGGGGGGTGGGGCAGCTGCTCCGTGAGCATCACAGCGGCGTGGGTCCTCACAAGGGTGTCTCACCTACAGATTACCCTGAGTCACCCTCAGATGATCGGAACTTCCCAGGAAGTCCTTTTCTAGATGAGTGTTGCCAGTTCATAAACCCCTCCGTTTGGTGGGACACCGAGTCACTGAGGACAAGGGGTCATGCCTTGTCCCTTCCTTCATCCATGCTTTCATGTCCATGCTTTCATCCCCTTCCTTCCTAGAACAGAGCCTTGCATCAGGTATCAGATGTTTGCTGAAGCACCAGATATTTTCAAATGAACCATCTTCAGTACTCATGTCTACTGCCCAGCGTACACGTCCTGGCCTCCTTGCATGAACCATTTGAGCGCATTTCCATCTCTCTCTGCTTGACTGAGCATCACGCACGAGGCTTTCTGAGTGATGACTGATGGTGCCGTGAAGCCCTCGGGAGGTGTTGAGGGCCGTGTGGCTGTGTCCTGCTCGCTAAATGCTCTCCGACCTCTGGTCCTGTGAGGCGTTGGGGTCTGCGTGCCCAGTGGTGGCATTCCTGCCTGCTGTGGGCCCTGCGCCCCCTCCCTTCTCCTAACCAGCAGCAGCTTGGGAAGCCCCATAGACCGTGGGTTCTCCCTGAAATGGGTTGGGGGGCTCACAGTGAGGAGGTAAAGTCCTGGCTTGGGAATAAAATGCTTGAGATCTGGAGCAAGTGGCCTCCCAGACCTTTTGTACTTGTGCTCCTTGGCTGTGGTGTGGGAAGGTGAAGGTGTTGGATTGCAGTGCGGGGGTTTGAGGAGTAGAGGGGTGACCCAAGTGGCCTGGATGATGATGATGTCCAAGAGGGCACCTGATGGGACCATGGAATGAGTCTGCACACACAGGTGGCCTGCAGGATGTACCCTGGGCACGCAGGAGCGGTCACGGGGAGGGCAGGGAACATATCCCTCCTCTCCCCCATGCCCCCACATTCTTTACAAAGGACCCTCAGTGTCATTTCCTCTGGGACTGGGCCAGCCTGGCTGAATTCCTGCCCCATGCCCTGAGAGAGAGGCCCACCCAGCCAGCCATCCTGCCACTGCAGTCACTCAGTCCCCTGTCGGGGCTCTCCTGCTGTCCTGCTGGTGAGCATCACATGGTGTGGGTGGGAGCGCACCCTTGCCTGTGCTGCAGACTGTTTCCTGTCTCTGGGTGTCTCGGCTCCCCAGCAGTTTGGCATGTTCTACGAAGGGCTATGTCTTGCTTTCTCAATGATAATACTAAAAGTATCTCCTGTTTATTTGTTCATGCATTCCACAAGTATTCATTGTGCTGGTCACCGGAAACAGGAAAGTGAACAGAAATAGACATGGCCTCTGACAGCCTAGTAGAGGCAATGATAGTCACCACACCTGAGGGTAAAAATCTTGACCTGACAGTGGAGGAAAACAGGAAAGAGAAAGTTAGAGAAGCTCCACTGAAGTACGAAGTCAGGGAAGGCTTCCTTGAAGAAGTGGTGCTTTTTGCTGAGGTCTGAAGGAGCATAGGTTAACAATGAGAGAGCGTGACCAAGCATATCCCAGACAGAGGGAGCAGCATATGCAAAGGTCCTGTGGTGGAAGAAGCAAGTGAAGACCAGGGCCTGAAGGCAAGCCCACATGGCTAGGTCTCAGAGCGTGGAGAGCAAGGTGGTAAAGCCGGGGAGAAGGGTGTGAACTGAGGCAGACGAGGAGGGTCCAACCCAGGCATGCATGGCACACCAGGTGGCCTCCGTCCAGAGAACAACAGGAAGTCTCTGGAGGTTTTTAAGCTGGCAGGGACAGGAGAAATGACATGATTAGATTTGCATCTTGAAAAGATCACTCCTGCTGCTATGCCGGAAGCAACTGGAGGCTGGCCAAAGTGGGGGTGAGGAGATGTGCTGGGAGGCCACGGTATAGGCAGGGGCACTGGAGATGGCTGCAGTGTGGACTGGGGCGGGGGCGGGGGCGGCCCACGATGAAGGGGAAGTGACTGTGCCAAGGGAGATGTAGAGTTCTCAGTGATGGATTATTTGGTGGGAATAAGGGAGCGTGAGGACCAAGGACATTTCTAGGTTTGGGCCTGTGTGACTGATGGGTGCTGGCACCCTTCGCTGAGACAGGTGTGCGGGGAAGAACCGTGGTTGTTGCTGCTCTTTACCACATAGTACGCTAAGCACTTTCATGAATCATCTCCTCGATCCTCCCAACAGTGGGAGTCTGCCAGTTACCACCGTTTTACGGGCAAAGAAGTACGGCTCAGAAACAAGTCCAAGTTTGCATCTATATGGCAGATTGTACTTTCCTGCCCCAAAGCCTGTGTCCTACGGCATGAGCCACCCCCTCTGAGCTGCAATACATATTTGCAAAAGGGATGTGGAGGGAAAGAAGAGAGAGCACGTGCTGGCTGAAGGCCTGGAGCTTTGTTGGTTCTACTCCGAGGCTGACCCAGGAGCTAGACTTGTACTGTTTAACGCCCACACGGTTGCAGCTGCAGGAAGTGACAGAGAGCCACGGCCCGCAAGCTGGAGCTTGCTCCCCCTGGGCAGTTCCACTCTGTGGAAACCCATCTCAGGCAGGAAGTAAGGGACCACCCCAGGCCCCTCCCCCCGACACTGCTCCTGACATAATGGTGCAATTTTCCTTTGCACCGAGTCGATATCATGTCCTCTCTGTCCTGGGCTTTTTAAAATGCCACCTGCCTAATTTTCTTTATTGGAACCTTGGAGCAAAGACCAAACCGATAAGGAGAAAAGGCTCATTATTCTCTTATTGATCCAAGATTTAATAGAGCAGCCATTGTGTATTATTTGAACAGGAGCATGTTATCTTTTTGCTGGCCCGAATTCCCCAGCCAGAGACGCTGCAGACCCATGAAGATGGCAGAGGTGGCGAGAACTGGGGTTCTCCACCAGTGATGGCTGTTACTTGAAAGCGGGCTTGTGCGTGGGCTGGGGCAGGTGTGTCCTGTTGTGCTACCCCAATCCCCCACAGCACCCCACAGGACAAGAGGCAGAGGGCACACTGGGGACATGCAACCCATCCCTCTTCCTGGGAATTGACCAACAGCCTTTGACGCAGCTTTTGGAGGGCGGCTGGTCCACGCCTCTCCTGCCCCCAGGCTGGGCAGTCTTCGTCCCACGGTCTCTAGGGAGAAGACAACACGGCTGTTCTGCGCTCTCTCCCAGTTTCTTGCAGTGATCCCAGCAGCGCAAATGTTCATTCCACCAGATATTTATCGAGGGAATGTGTGTGCCCACCCTCCCAGCCTCACTTCCAAGTGTTCGCTCCTGGAACCCGCGTCCTGCAGCTGGGGAGCAGTGTGGCTGCTCCCCCATCCCCAGCAGAGCCTTGACCCAGGGTCATCCCGTGTTGCCTTCTCTGCCTAGTCAAGAGGCATCAGCCACACTCCTGGGGACATGAATCCGCTCCCTGGAGAGCCATGGGCACCTGCTGGACACTTGAGCTGGGGAGGGAGTTATCCAGCTTTCCTGGGGTGTGGAAGAAGGGAGCCTCCTAAATCCTGACTGTCCCCCATTTGCTGGGGGGCCTTGGGCAGTCGTAAACACTTCTGAACCTGTTTTCTCATCCTCATAATGGAGAGCATGACACTCCCCTTGTTCATACTTTGTCACCAGGGCCCTAGTGCGTGGCACCTGCCATTGTCAGTAAATGGTAGTAACTGGCCCTCTCTCCTCTCGTTATTCCTCACACGTTGGTCTCACTGGGAGGGGCAGGGTGAGCTTAGAGGGCGAGCTGTCATCCTACCTGCTAAGCAGTAGGAAAATCTCGCCACGCTGGGAGGGCCTCACTTACTCTCACACATGTGCCATTCATTTGGGATGGTGGGAAACAGCAAGGAAAACAGCCAACTCAGGGCGCCTGGGTGGCTCAGTGGGTTAAAGCCTCCGCCTTCGGCTCAGGTCATGATCTCAGGGTCCTGGAATCGAGCCCCGCATTGGGCTCTCTGCTCAAGCAGGGAGCCTGCTTCCTCCTCTCTCTCTGCCTGCCTCTCTGCCTATTTGTGATCTCTGTCTGTCAAATAAATAAATAAAAATATTAAAAAAAAAAGAAAGAAAGAAAAAGGAAACAGCCAACTGGCTTCAGGGTTTCCTTCCTCTCTCTTTACCCCCAACAAGAAAGGCCCATGTTGTGCTTTTCTGAGGCCCATCTTGTGGGCTTATGGGGGCCCCTGTCCTTGGGGTAGAACGGTTGCTGGGAAGGGTAGGGAGAGTCCCCAGACCAGGTCAGGAGAGGCAGCTCGGGCCTTCTGGGAGACAGGCCACTGGCCCCCAGTGATGCTCAGCCCCAGCCTGTCATACAGCCCAAACCCAGGCCTGATATGAAAGTGGCCGGGCCTCCATCCCCCTCCGAGGGACCAGAGTTGCTCAGAGGGAGAACAGCAGAGTAGTGAGCACCCCAGACAGCACTCACTGATCCCTTCCCAGATGGACTGCACCTCCAGAGACCCCCCAGCTCAGGGCCTTCGCAGGAGCTGCCCAGGGGCCCCAGCTGTGACTGGGATGGACTTTCTTCCGGCCCAGACAGACGAAAGCTTAAAGCAGGTTGCATTTTATTTGGAGAAATGGATGTGGCATTTCTCATACCTGAGTGTTGAATGGTAGCAAATGTCTTACCACCACCGCCCCCCCCATGTATCCAAGCTTTCCTTCTGCTGAGAGCTGGCTCCCACCTCCCGCGGTGCTGGGCTCATCCACCTGATCAGGCAGTGACGACATGCTCTGGGAAGCCAAGTCGGTGACATTTCCCTCTCTGAGGAGAGTGTGCTCCTTGCTCAGTTGGCAGCCTGCAGAAAAGGCCAAGCTACAGATCTCACCTTCCCCGGGTAGCGGGAGGCAGGAGAGAGCCCCCAGCCTGGCAGGGACAGGGTGGCTTCCATGGGGGTAGGAAGATGGATTAGCAGGTGGGGCAGCTCTCTGAGGAGGACACGTGGCCGCTGAGTCATACTATGCCTGGGTTAGCTGGAAACAGGTCCCAGCCCCACAAAGTCCCCCTCTCCCTCCCTGCGAATTTCATCTGGCCTTGCCCAACCCGGCTTGCTGCTTGCTGCTGTGTGTTTCAGAGAAGCGAGACGTGGATGCAGAAGTCATGAACTTCAGCAACACTGTAAAAGGAAAAACATTAAGGAAACTAGGTTCGGGCTACTTAGGCGTCTGGAGAAAATTATGTAATGGCTCTAGAGTCGGACCTGAGGCTATCACTCACCAGCTGCGTGAACTTGGGCAAATTTTCCAAGTACTCTAACCCCCAGGTTGCTTGCCTGTGAAACGGGCCTCCTACTTACATAGCAGGGCTCCTGGAATCATCCCGTGGGCAGTGTGGCATAAACCTGCCACCGGTGTTTCTCCCCAGATCATCCTCTCACCTCGTCAGGCACGCATGTGAGGTCTTTGTGCAGTTGTATACAAATGTGTGTGTTCGTTGTTGAACAATATCATTTGCTGCTCTTGTTACCAGGTAGTGACATAATCTGCTAAGTCAAGGCCACATCGTATTCCATTCTGCTGGCCTGGATCTTCCCCTGGTATCAGGGGTTTGGGTTGCTTCCACCTCTTTACTGTGGAAAATGATAAGCCATGAATATCAGCCAGCTTCCTTTTTTATGGGACCCTAACAGAATGCAGTGGGAGCGTGGTGGGGAATTTACGTCGTGGCGATCCACGGATGTGTACCCCTGTCGTGCCCTAAAGCCGGCTATGGGTTTTAGGTGATCTGTGCCCTTTGAGTTATGTACCCTGCTGGTCTGAGTCTCACACCATCCCCTTGGAAGACGCCAATGGGTTCCTTGGTCAGTTTCTCAGCCCCTCAACCAAGGAGGAAGTAGCTGAAGTGCTTACATTCCTGTGTCCTCTCTCTTATAGAAAGTCTGCACCAAATGTGGGATCGAGGCCTCCCCTGGCCAGAAGCGGCCGCTTTGGCTGTGTAAGATCTGCAGCGAGCAGAGAGAGGTAGGATGCCCAGCGCAACAGGTGGGGGTGGGCTGGGGTGGGTCCGAGCACACTTGCAGTTGGGGAAATCCATGGTTGGTCTCTGGGAGGGCCTTCTCTAGAGGCCAGGTGGGACCACTGAGGATGGCCAGGAAGAAGGGTGGGGAGGGTTAGTCTGCTTGCCTGTTCTGCGTGCAGAGGGGGGCAGGGGGCCCTGGTTCTGCTGTGCCTGGGCCCCGTGGTTTCGGTGGGAAGTCCCTCACACCGAGCACAGGTGCGTATAGCATTTTGGGCGAGGCTCTTATTACAGTAACAGCAATGGCTATCCTAGGCTGTTAACTATGCACCCGGCACTGCATCAGGTTCTTTATATAGATAGATTCTTTCCATTCTGACACCACCCCACGGGCGGTTGCTATGATTATCCCCTTTTACTGGTAGAGCAATGGAGACACAAGTAACTTACAGGCACACTAGCTGGTGGGAGAACTGGAAACCCAACACAGCCGTGGTCTGCCGTGATGATACCACCCCAGAGTCCCTTCTGGCACGAAGTTTCCATATTTCTAGTTCTGACCCCATTTGAGGAGAAGAAATCAAGGCTCAGTGAGTTCTCTGAGGCAATCACAGATGGGGGGCTTGAACTGTGTCTCCTAACCCCAAACCCAGGGCTCCCTCCACTGTACCAGGGTCGGGGCTGAAACAGAGGATGTCAGCATGAAGCTTCTCTCCGTGGAGGGTCACGGGGCAGGGATCTGCTAACAGAATGAGCTGGGCACAATGCAGCATACCCCTGGTTTTCCAGGTGTGGGTTTATTTTTTTACTTACCTTGCTTGGCAACTGATAGGGGCTTTTAATTGGAGGATCCATAAAAGGTCTTCAGTTGTGGGAAATTTTCAGCTGTGCTGTCCTTGAATATTGCTCTCCTGCTAACGCGTGTCTCCTCTCCTGGAAATCCCCTTGGATCCATTGCCGAACCTCAATCCATCCTCCAGGGGCTCCGAACTGCTCTTTCTTGTTTCTTCCTTTGTCTTTCTGGATACTTTCTGGGGAGATTCGTTAATACTGGGTAGTCTTTAGTTTGTTAAACCTTGGGACCGTCTCCCAACTGTTGGTTTTGTCCTTTGTCTTTCTTAGCGTCAGCTTTTCTCAGGTGTCTTGGAATTTGGGTCTGTATGCTCAGCTTGAGTGGGAGTCAGTCTGTCTCCTGCCCCACCACCTCCAGCCAGATCTCCTGCCGAGGGGTCTTGCGTTTCCTCCACCCAGGGCCTGGGTCCCGCCTCGCACCCCCCCCCCAAGTGCAAAGCCATGTATCTTGGGTTAGTGATTGTCCACAGTGACAATGGGATTATGCCCAGAGTTGATCATCACTGACTTGGGCAGGGCAGACGTCTGTGCTCTTTTCAGCCTCCTTCCCCAGGTGGGAAATCCCTTCACCAGCTCCCATTTTCAGTGGCTCTGGTTCTGGTGCTCCACCTCCCAGGTGACACTTTTAGTCCCCATGGCCTGGAAGGCTAAGCTCCCAGCTGCCTCCCTCCACCTGCTTCTGGACTCAGAGCTCAGTAGGCTGTGCCTTCAGCCCCTCAAAATAGTAACTGTTTGGAGTCTCCAATCCATTGAGATAGATATAGAGAATATATCTTATTTTTAAACACAGATAAGTTTTCTTGTTGTTTTTAGAATATTCTCATCGGTCCCTGCTGTGTTTTTGGAACAAGGAAGGTTCTCAGAGTATGAACTATCATTCTGTCTTGCCTGGAGGTCCCTGATTTCTCATCCATTGCAGGATGAAAGCACCAGAGGTGCTATGGGAATCGAGCAAGGTCATTACAGTGTACAAAAGACACATAAATGTCTGTCTTGAACAGGAACTTCATAATATCAGAGGCCTCCCTCTCACCCAGCCAGAAATCCCCACTTTGAACCTGAGGTCTTTCTGGTCTTCAGGGTTCCCTTTGAAGAGGCAGGGATATCCACTGCCACAAGAGAGGAAATTCCTTCAAAGAGTATCTTGTGGCAGACACTTAGCAGGATGAAATGACAGTCACCCCCAAGCTGTGGGAGGACAGAGGGGAAGGAGCTTCCAGGGAAAAGGAGGTGGAGGATGAACTCAGCAAATGTAATGATTTAGTGGAGCAGTCCGGAGGCAGCTGCCCTGGCCAGCACCCCCTCAGGTCACCCTTATGCTACCACCCCCCCAACCGTCCTGAGCTGCCTCGTGCAGGGCCCACCACCGGCCGCTCCTAATCTCCAGAGCCCAGAAAAGTCCAAAATAGCTTAGGATGAATTTTCTTATCTCTTCTAAGGCAAAGAATATGAGGCTGTGCAGTGTGCTATCAGTTTGTCCTTGAACTTCTAGAGGCCGATACAACTTAGCAAGATCAGGAGTGCTCCTCCTTTCCCTCTCTGTGGCACCTGGCATACCGCAGCCAGTTAGGAGGTGTGGCTGGGCCGCAACAGACAGTACTCAGGTCTCGGAGGCTGCGTGCCCGTGGAGGCTGTATCCAGGGGCTGCTTTGGGGGTGGGAGAGTGACAGGGTAATTGGTTTCCTCATGCCTTTTTGTCTTAGAAAAAATTATCTAATCACAACAAAGAGATAGTTAAATAGAAAGCATTTAAAATGTCATTTTAAGTGCCACTTAGAGCTGGTTCTGAGCCTGTGATAAAAACGTGGAGTTCTGTCCTGCGGCAGAAGCCACATCCTGATGGGAGAACCTGAATTTTCTGGTGGAGACTCATATTTTGGTGTCCAGACGCTTGGATCTGCCTCTCCTTTTGACATGTCCCTCCTTGTCCTCTCTGGCTGTAATTGTCCGGATTCTTTTCACTGGTGCTGGTTAAAGGTCCCGGGTGCTTTCAGGTTGGTGTTGCTGCCTGCTCTGTGTACTTCAGCCCCACCAATGTGAACTTCAGCCCCAGTTTAATGCGTTTATCCAGTTGAGCATCCAACATGTATTTACCGAGGATCTTCTGTGTGCTAGGCAAAGTAGCTTCTCTCGTGGGAGAGAGAGACCACCGACATCATAAATCCTGCCATGTGACAGATGGTGACATGGTGCTCAGGGTAAAGGGGGGAGGGTGCTGGGAATGTGGCAGGTAGCTGCTGTGTTTTATGTCGTGGTCAGGGAAGGGCTCATGGATGAGATGGCATTTGAGCACACTATGTTGTTCTGTGATTGGAAAGTATTCCAAGTGGAGGGTATAGTGAGTGCAAAGGCCCTGAGGCAGGCAGTCCTTGGTAGGCTTGAGGAACAGCAAGGAAGCCAGTGTGACTGGAAGATGTGGTCAGAGATGTGGCAGGGAGTCGGAGCACGTTGGTCCTTGTAGACCGGTGTAAAGACTTTGGCTTTTACTCTGAGTGGAAGGGGGAGCACATGGAGGGTCTTGAACAGAGTAGAGACATGACCTGAATCCCCTACCTCTTTTTTTTTTTTAAAGATTTTATTTATTTATTTGACAGAGATCACAAGTAGGCAGAGAGGCAGGCAGAGAGAGAGGAAGCAGGCTCCCCGTCGAGCAGAGAGCCTGATGCAGGGCTTGATCCCAGGACCCTGAGATCATGACCTGAGCTGAAGGCAGGGGCTTTAACCCACTGAGCCACCCAGGCGCCCCTCCCCTACCTCTTTTTTTTTTTAAGATTTTATTTATTTGACAGAGATCACAAGTGGGCAGAGAGGCAAGCAGAGAGAGAGAGAGGAGGAAGCAGGCTCACCACGGAGCAGAGAGCCCGATGTGGGACTCTATCCCAGGACCCTGAGATCATGACCTGAGCGGAAGGCAGAGGCTTAACCCACTGAGCCACCCAGGTGCCCCTCCCCTACCTCTTTTTAAAGGATAATCTGGCTATTGTTTTGAGAATAAGTGGTATATTATAATGTCAAAGTCAGTATGATGGTATTTCAGCTCTCCTAGTTAATATTATCCTAGATATTTAAGTTCTTAGCTGTTGTTACTCCTTGAAGTTTTCATTTATTTTTATTTTATTTTTTAGATTTTTAAAAATTTATTCATTTGAAAGAGTGTGTGTGAGCGAGAGCACAAGCAATGGGGAGGGGCAGAAGGAGAGGGAGAAGCAGGCTCCCCACTGAGCAGGAAGCCTGATGGGGGGCTCAATCCCAGGACCCTGAGATCATGACCTGAGCAGAAGGCAGACGCTTAACTGACGGAGCCACCCAGGTGCCCCTGTTGTTTTTATTTATTTATTTGACAGACAGAGATCACAGGTAGGCAGAGAGAGAGAGAGAGAGAGGAGGAAGCAGGCTTCCCGCCGAGCAGAGAGAGCCCGATGCGGGGCTTGATCCCAGGACCCCGAGATCATGACCTGAGCCGAAGGCAGAGGCCCAACCACTGAGCCACCCAAGCGCCCCTGTTGTTTTTATTTTTAAGTAATCTGTATGCCCAACATGGGGCTCGAACCCACAACCTCAAGATCAAAGTCACATGCTCCACCAACTGAAACAGCCAGGCACCCTGAAGTTTTCATTTTTTTTAACATTACATACTTTACTCTTTTCTGATTATGAAGTTAATGTGGATTATTGACATTTACAGTGTATCAAAAAGCATAAAGAAATACACTCCCCCTCCCCCAGAATGGAAAATCTTAGGATCCAGAGACAATCACTGCTAACCAACATCTTGGCATGTTTACTTCCGGTCTTTTTTCTACCTTATTTCTTTATATTGTTGAACCTATGTTTTAAAATTAACATTGTATCGTAAGTAGTTTTCAGCACAGTCATTAACTCTTTGAAAACATTCTGCATGTGGCTACGTTTGCTTATTTAGGATATCTAAGTTATTTCCTTTTTTTTCCCTTATTAACAACCACGGTATGTATCTGTACATAACTTCTTGCCTGCATTTAAAATTATATCCTCAGAATGGATTCTTGGAAGAGAAAAATAAATAGCAGCATTTATATTCCCTCTTTTCTGATAGATCTTTAAGTTACTACTTTTGATTTATTCCATAATTAGCTGGCATATAATTTTGTGTAATCATAAATAAGGGCACATGCATGGTATGTCTTTTTCTATCTAGTAATAACCCTTGCTTTTATTTCTTAATTTTTTGAAAGGATTTGTTTATTTACTTATTTGAGAGATGGAGAGTAGGGACGGGGTGGAAGGAGAGGGAGACAGAGAATTCCAAGCAGACTCACCACTGAGCATAGAGCCCAACGTGGGGCTCCATCTCACAACCCTGAGATCATGACCTGAGCCAAATCAAGAGTAGGCTGCTTAACCGGCTGAGCCATGCAGGTGCCTCAGTAGCTCTTGCCTTTATACAAAAAAGACACTTGACTGATGGTAGAATTGATACTCTTTCTCACTCTGAATTCTGTGGATTTTGTCCCTGTTGTCCGCCAACCACATGTGAAAAGAATCACCATGAGGGCGAGTCAGCAAATGCAATAAGTAGGACTGGTATCCAGAGAACGGGAGAAAATAGAGAAACTAGAGATATAAATACATATTTTAAATTAGTGAAGTAAAAGAGATAAGAGAAGGAAGAGAAACCACATTGAACAAACAGGACCTTTGAGAAAGGAATCACCAAATTTGAAAAATGAACCAAGTGAAATTCCCTCCCAAGAATTTCAAATGGTTCATTTGAAAAAAATGAACCATTTTCATTTCTAAAAAATGAAAAATGTGGGGTGCTTGGGTGGCTCAGTTGGTTAAGCAACTGCTTTCAGCTCAGGTCATGGTCCTGGAGTCCCAGGATCCAGTTCCGCATCGGGCTTCCTGCTCAGTAGGGAGTCTGTTTCTCCTTCCCTCCTTATGCTCTCTCTCTCTCATTTTCTCTCTCTCTCTCAAATAAATAAAATCTTTAAAAAATAAATAAAAATGAAAAATTTTATTAATAAATTTAAAAACTCAATTGAACTTAATTTGGTAGTTTTCTAGAGCAATAATTTAACTAATGTCATTCCTATTAACAGCCACATAGGCTTCCTTATCATTTGCTTTTTTTAAATTTTTTATTTCTTTATTTATTTGACAGAGATCACAAGTAGGCAGAGAGGCAGACAGGCAGAGAGAGAGAAGCAGGCTGCTCACCGAGCAGAGAGCCCAATGTGGGGCTCGATCCCAGGACCCTGAGATCATGACCTGAGCCAAAGGCAGAGGCTTAACCCACTGAGCCATCCAGGCAGCCCCATATTATTTGCTTCTTACCAGTTGTTTTTTATTTTTGATCCCTGGTTGTCACTCCCAACAGCCTGGAGTCCCAAGGCCCTATTTCTGCTCTACCAACTGTCATGAAT